TTTAACTGTAGTAGGCTTAGGAAATTCGGCAACAGCACGAAGCTTGTCAGGGTCGGGAAGGATGCCGGCTTTCGAGACGACATGACCAAGTATGGTGAGTTGTTTAGCCCCAAAGTGACATTTCTTCAGGTTAAGCTGAAGCCTGGCGTTTGTAAGGCCCTGTAGAATTTTATGCAGACGAGTGAGATGCGAAGTGAAATCGGGTGAAAAGACCACAACGTCATCAAGATAGCACAAGCAGATGTTCCATTTGAGGCCGCGTAAAATGCTGTCCATCATTCGCTCGAATGTGGCAGGCGCATTGCAAAGTCCGAATGGCATTACGGTAAATTCATAGAGACCATCTGGTGTGACGAACGCCGTTTTTGGACGATCAGACTCAGCCATTGGGACCTGCCAATAACCTGAGCGAAGGTCAAGTAAGGAAAAGAATTCTGCACCTTGGAGACAATCGAGAGCGTCGTCTATGCGGGGAAGAGGGTAAACATCTTTCCTCGTAATTTCCTTGCAAAGTGGTGGAAGTGTGCTGGGTACGCAAACCTGGAACTTCGAAGCCGGAAGCTGCCCACTGCATCAGCAATGTCTGATCAGACGACCGAGCAAGGCACCCCCCTGCAGAGCACGGCCCAATCTCAACTGGTCATTGTACCTACCACCCTGCGCCAACGGGATCCCCCCTTCTTCAGCGGCACCGAGGACCAAGATGTGGAAGACTGGTTGCAGCTGTTTGAAAAGGTGAGCGCCGCCAACAAGTGGGACGACCCCTCGAAATTGGAGTGCGTCCCATTTTATCTCAAAGATGTCGCCAGCCTGTGGTTCACAAACCACCATACGGAATTTACCACTTGGGCCGCTTTTAAGACCACCCTTGCAGCTGTGTTCGATCGCCCCGCAGTGCGCAAGCAGCGTGCTGAACAGCGCCTATGCGGACGAGCGCAAAGGCAGGGCGAAAACTTCACTAGCTACATTGAAGATGTTATCGATTTATGCCGGCGTTTTAACCCTGAGATGACCGAGCAAGACAAGATCAGGCATATCTTGAAAGGAATAGACGATGATGCCTTTCAAATGTTGCTGGCAAAGGGCCCAAGTACCGTATCCGAACTTGTGACCTTGTGCCAGAACTTGGAAGAGATTCGCAAGCAACGTGCATTAGTTCGAAGGTCAACGACAGCAGACGACTCTCTCGCTTCCCTAGCCGTCAGTGGTGACAGCACCCTGCTGGAGCAGATAAAAGTATATGTACGTGAAGAGGTCGCACGACAGCTTTCGTGTCTCTCGTATCTGCCGACCACCGAAGCACCAACAAACCGTCTAACGCCGACAATCAGACAGGCTATATACAGTATATATATTACGACGTCTGGGTTGAGACAGTGTTTATTCGGCCAAGGGCTCAGCAGCAAACGGGCAGTGCGAGACTGAGCGCGCACACACCCGATGATGATTGTGGTGACACCTAGTGAAGATGAGGACAGGGACCCAGACGGATGATGATGATTATGATAATACATATATGAGAAGAAGCACATAACGAATGCCCACAATATAAATATATATATATATATATATATATATATATATATATTATATATATAATATATATATAGATTGTAATTCAGAGAGCATACATTACGCGTTTGCTAGTTTTTTACAATCCTTTATAGCTGGCACGATTTGTCCAGGCGCCTGCTAGAGGACACGTTATTTTGTTTTACGATACGCTTTTTCTAATGCTGGGCAGACTAAGACGCTCTATTGAATGTTGGAACAATGCGTGGCAACGATGCGGATGACATCGATACCTATACAGTCGACTCTCGTTAATACGAAGTTCACGGGGACCGTGAAAAATTTCGAATTAAGCGGAATTCCAATTAACCACAATGAACGAAAAATACATTTATTTCAAAGAAGTTTATGAGAAAAAAATCTGTGATTGCCGTTTGCTTCTGTTGCTGATCTGGCAGCAGAAAGCAAGTCCTGCAGGCTGTATATGTGCCTGAGTGCTTCCTCGGCGTTGCTCTCAGCAGTGAAAAACCGCTGCGCGAGGGCAAGGCCTGCGGCTACATCAGCAGCCCGCGGTAGTGGGTCACTTGCGGCGGCGGCGTCGTCAACCTCAGTTTCGTGACTAGGCTCGCTGGGCTGAACCATCTCCACGATCTCAGCGTCCGACAGCGCACCGCACGTTTCTACCGAACTGTCAGTGGCAATGGGACGAAAGGGACGTCGCCGAAAGCTGGCAGGAGACCATCAACGTCAAGCTCGCGAGTTGCCATAGTAAATGCACGTGGAGATTCGTCGCACGTGGAAACGCTGAGTCCGCACACGACCGTAACGAGATCAACATTGAGGCCCGGAACCGGAACCGCCGGAGCAGCCGCTTCGTGATCTGGGGCGCTGCATGGAACTGCGATGCCATCAGCTGACGCTTTGAGCTGCGGCGCTGTGGTAAACTGCGATGCCCTTGGGTGCCGGTCAGACACGCATTGTTGTTTAGCACTTCGAAAATAGGAAATTTAAACATTACGATTTCCTCCGGGAATTCGATTGAATATAAATTCGAATTAACTGAAATCTCAGACCTCTAGCTTCCGATTACCGAGAATTTCTTCCTGTTGAACTGCATTCAAAACTTACGGGACCCCCACTCCACTTCCAATTAACCGATAATTCCAATGAAGCGACTTAGAATTATCGGGAGTCGATTGTAGTGTGAAAATGTGGTGCAAGCAGCTAGAAGCATCCCGCAGCAGATGCAGACAATGCAGCTGTCACCTAGGAGGCTGTTTTGCAGTGGCAGGGGCTGTGAAGCAAGAAAAGCTGCTGGACGACTTCAAAATCTATGCATTGCAGAGTCGTGCCCAATTTCTGTTAACGGAAATTCCTATGATGCGCAAGGTCACTGCTGCTCGCTGCTTGCAGACAACTGGGCGTGGAACACATTTAGATGTGCTAGCCCTCTGAATGATCCAGAAGGACTGTAACTTCCACTTAAACAGAGTATACATCCAGATGCACTGTGCCGTTACAGTAGCTTCATCATGCAGTAAAACCTCGTTAATTTGAACTCGGTTATTCTGAAATCCCGCTTAATTCGAAGGATTTCCGCGGTCCCGTATTTTGCAATGTAAGTTTGAGTGGATAATTTGAAGCGGCGGCCGGCACCAGTCTGGTTAATTAGAAAATTTTGGTTGCAATGTGCCAGTTTCAGATCCCGGTTCCGCCGCAAATCCGCCGAAATGACGGCCCTTAATAGCCACAAGGCGTTGAAACGTAGCGATAGTAATGAGTGCTAGCTGAAGCACCCCAGCCTTGCTACTTCTAGCGCAGAAAAAAAAAAAAGAGAGAGAGAGAGAGAAAAGAAAATGGTCTTGTGGTCTATCACGTGTGCCTGAGGAAAAGTGGACGTGCATCACTGCAACACGGCGATGATGTGTGGGCAACATATTGCATGTTTCTAGCAACGTCAGCGGGTCATGGTTCACTTATTTTTTCTGGGATCATAAAACAAATAATAAAGTACAGTTTGGCGGAATTCGCGATGTATTACTTCACAAACTAAGTTCAAAATTTTCAAAGATAGTTTTTCTCAGCCAGAACACATTGCGAGTTTCGTCATACTGGCCATTATTAAATTCCTAATTATACCAGAAAGAATGTGCGAATGGTCGCAGCGAGGTGCAGGCAACATGCTGCCTGCGTGTCACTACTGTGTTGCAGTGAAGATGTTTTGTTTTCTGCAGGCGCAATTTCAGTTGACCGCGACAGCGTTTTTTGTTTTTTTTTTTTTTTGTCCCCCCCCCCCCCCCCCCCCCCGGTGGCAGCAGCGAGGTCCAGCGTTCTCCCGTGTTTGCGGCAAAATTAAGACCAGGTATTGCTGGAAAACATAATCATTGGATACGCTAGCTAGCCGGCACAGCAAACGATGAGCACTGATTACTTTGAACAGTTCTAAGCTCCTGGCATCCCGCTTTTTAAATGTTCTGTTAATTCGAAACTCGCTTAATTCGAAGGTTTCTCGCGGCCCCAGTGACTTCGAATTAACAAGCTCCGACTGTATTGTTATGTGCTTCACCGCATCACACTCTGGTAATGCGCTAAAGCTGCCTTTAACACTCTCCTATGGCCGTAATGAGATTAACTCACAAAAGAGCTGGTTGGAACTGATGTCGTAGGTGTGGGCTTTATTGAGTGCCATTTCGGACCAGAAAGTGTGAAAAAGTTGAACGAATAGTTTCAGCATTTGAAATTTAATATGTTTTTATACGTTGATGTTTACAAGGCAGATTAGTAACTCCAAACTCCAAAGGCGCACACCGTTGTCTGCCGAATAAGTTGGGTGTCCACGGAAGGGGAGAGGTAGAGGAAAGAGCGTTCGTTCACTTTATGTGTAAAGTGTATTTGGCAACACAGTGGTTACACCAAATCATGTAAATTAATACGATTCGGCCTCTGCATTGCCTTATCCTTGATGAAACAACTAGGGAAACACTATCCCTACTTCAGTTCTCCATCCTAGCCAAAAAAAATGCTTTCTTGCTCCCATCTCATAGGAATGTGATTGGGATCCTCTGCAACCTTCTTTCTGTAGTTCCACATCAAAATATATGAAAAATACTAAACAAACATTTGAGAGATATTCGAAAAATATTCTATTGATTTCACTGTCAAACTTTAATATTTGAATTCGCTTTGCACCCCAAATTTTGCTATTCGCACATCTTTAATGGTGAAGTGAATTGGCAGTCTTACTGACTTGATATATTGAAGCTTAACTGGCATATCAGCTATCATATGGTCATTACTAAACAGCTTTTTTAATATGCTAATACTTACTGAGAACGTGAATTGTTCAATTCAAGACATACGCTTGTATCCTGAGACAAGCACCACTTTCAACAATGCTGCAAGCTTGCATTATGATGGAAAATGTCTATGGTATTGAAGAATCGACAATTTTGTTGCATTTTATGTGTAACTTTTCATTTTCACTACAGGCGAGTTGGCATCCCATGGAGAATCTCATTGTGGTCGGACGGTATCCAGACAAGAACTTCTGTGCCAATGACACTGTGCGTGGTATTGACCTCTTTGATGGCATCACTGGCGAATCGCTTGGAAAAGTGGAGGGATCTCTGAACATTACCGGCATTTGCTCGGTAAGTCTGGTGCATTCACATTCTGCTGGACAGCAGTTGCATTCTTCATGGCTATCTGCCCTTTTCTTTTCCATGGTTCTGCTTTCTGGTGTACACTGCCAGATACATTCTGTTATAATGCTGGAACTCTTAGCTCGCCGTTTGTGTTTGTGCTGTTAAGTTGTTAATCACACATTAGTTGAGTGTTTGTCTGAGTGAGTTTAGTTATTAACAGCCACTGCAAGACAATGTATCCAATTAGTTAACAATGTGTAGATGATTCCAATGACTGGGAGAGAAACCATGGTCGTGTTTCTATTTTAACAGAGCGACCAGTGCAGTCACCAACTGATTTTTTGGACCCTCAAAGAGCCGAGCTCACATCCGGGAAATCGGGCAGTCTGAAGAAGCTAGTTCATGGGGGGGGGGGGGGGGGCTGTATTTGTCACGTTGCCATACCAATAGGTCAGTTGAAATCCACTTCACTTCCTGGCAAATTCTGGAATACACACCTTGTCTCTTAGATGGTCTGATATTATCTGCTTTTAAATATCAAACTGTTTTGTGATGTCCTGTTGTCGGTGGCAGTTTTCGACTTTCCTTGTAACTGCAACTTTTTTTTTTTTATCATCACTCGGCTGTAATTTCTTCACTTCAATGTTTTTTGTTTTGTTTTTTTCTTGAGGGCGCGAACAAAGGAAGGTGATGTCAGCGCCATCGGTGAAAACTGCGGAAGAAACCACAATTGGTGTTGAATGATGATGATCCTGTAGCCATTCCCTTTGCAACGTGCTAGTGTCAATTGACTCCAGGCCAAAGATAGTGGAAGAAAAAAAAAAGGATAGGAAAAAAGAACTACAAAAAAAGAGGAGAGGAAAAAAAGTTGCTGACAGTTGCTGCCATCTACTGAGCACAATGCTAGCATTGTAGGGACAGAGAAGTAAGCTGCACAGTACTACTTGTCAACGATGTTTGCTGCACTGGCATGTAAGGAAGCCTTTTCTAACCCTTTCGTAATCGAAAGAAAAGAAGGAAAAGATACTGTTTGCGGTATGACAGGCGGCAACGCAATGAAAGGCAAGACACAGGAGGAGCAAATTGTTGGGAATGCATGCTCAATCAAGTGGGGCGATCTCACATTGAAAAAGACCACAATAGCGGCTATACTCATCACTGGTTCTCACATGCGACCATTTTTTGTTGATGATGAATATAGTTGTCATTGTTATTTTGTTATAAAATCTCATGACAACAATACTTGCTTGAGAAAGGGTTAATTGTTCGGACAACCATACACAATCTCTATCATCACTCAGCGCATGATTCTTAAGAGGCCATAACCTTTCCGAAATGTTTGTCAATATGTTCCCAAAAGTTTCCATTAAAAGAAGCTTGAAAGTTGGGTTGCACGTATGCAATCATACAGTGAAGAAAATGCATTGAGATGAACGTTAAGTATCAGCAGCAAAACCAACCTTCTATGTTTTTGTTGCAAGCGGTCTCCTGAAAAAAAAAAAAAAAACTTTTTGTTATTATTTTACATATTGCAATTACATCCTGTAGTAAGGTTTCAAGGTGATTTGGGAACATTAGATTACACAAGATGACCATGCCACCCTATGGGAATATAGTACTGAGATATACTTGTTCCTGCGATTTATGTGCAGGGTCAGATTTGTTGTAGATTAAGAGCCATGTAATGCGGAAGTGTCATTTTCAGTGTTACCCAGGTTTATTATTCAGTGTTAAAATTAGCTAGGGGGTGTTACAATAGCAAGCTACATCCCCTAATGTTATTGTTACGTTTTGTGCTATATTGTACCAGTAGTTTGTGCATCTCAGCCATTGAGATGCTTGTTAAGCAAGTTGTTAAATAAGGATGCATATATTTGTTTCTTTTCTCTCAACAGCTTGCTGCTTTCAGTTGCACAGGCGAAATTTTGGCCACAGGCACAGGTGAGTGGATTGACTCATTTGTAGACCATGAGCGACATAATTCTGCTTCACGTATTGTTGTTGGAGTATGTGAAGGCGTACAAATTTTAACCCAAGCATTAAAACAATAGCCATGGATATACTACGTAATTTTTCTCTTTCCATATTTTGGAAATCTGTCTAAGTGAACGTCCCATACCTGGTCAGGTTTCCTTATCTGTCAGGTCATTTTAGTATTAGCTAGCATTAGCATATCTGTTCAAGGTTTGGCAGAGACAAAAGGCATCACTGTCAGGTGCTGACAGGATAAAATATAAAACTTTATATACAGCTTCCTCATTCTCTGTTTACCCTTGCACTACTTTCATGATATGACCTGTTAATATGCTAAATACCGCCTTTTCTCACATATAACCCACCCTCAAAATAACACACACCCCTAACTTTGAACTCCCTGAAAAAAGAAAAAAATTCTGACGTATGACCTGCATGCTTAGCTTAAAGAAACTTCTGGGAAGTCACAACTGCACAGTCACAATCTCGTTTACAAAAAAACTTCATTTCAAAGTGATTCCTGCAACGTTGGCACTGCCCGATTTTTGTTCGTTCAATCATCGCCCGACTCGCCGCTGTCGCTGCTGCAATTCAAGATTACGTCGCCGCTCTCGAAGATGCAATTGTCTTCTATGCCACCCAAGCAATTGCCAATGGCGCACTTTTTGAAACTCTTGCGCACAGAGTCGGCCGGATTCGCCCCCTTCGCATCCACGATCCACTGGCACAGCAGCGCAGTGTCTGACATCCACACGCGCCCCGTCGGTTTGAGGGCGTACAGGCCTCCTTAGGCCATCCACTCGGCTGCTTGACGTGCGCCTTGAACTGCTTATTGAGACGCGTCCAGTGACTGTAGTACGGAAGTCATGCCACCGGATATGATCACGAGGTCGGTGCGGTGGTCAGCAAGGCACGCTTTCACTGCGTCAGTGCAATGGCCTCGAAACGAGTCCAACACGAGCGTCGACCGCCGTGCCAACATGGCACCTGGCCTCTTCTCTCACATCGTGCGAAGCCATTCACAGACGAGGTCACCATTTATTCACGCGTTATCTTCGGTTTGCACAACAATCCGTGGTGGCAGTGGAGCGCTGGGCAGCGTTTTGCGCTTGAAGATTGTGCACGGGTGCAGTTTGTTACCGTCTGCCAAAGCGCATATTACTGTGCAGCATAGTTTGGTGTTACCGCCCGTCAGTACACTTACAGATTTCGGGCCCTTTTTCTGCAGAGTTGTGTTCGTGGCCATCTCAAAGTACACGGGCGTTTGATCGCCATTGCCCACCTGGGAGAGCAAGTAGTTGTGCTCCTTCCGCAGCCCGACGACGTAACATTGATAGTTCAACAGCTTATCCTCATAGGTGTTGAGAAGTCGCTGACACACTGTCGTTCACCGCCACATCGAAAATCCGTGCCTCGTCGTGAATCGGTGGAGCCTTTCACAGCTCGCACGAAACTCGCGTGAGATGTTAATCTCGCGAGCCGACCTCAGCGCTTCCATTTGCGCCATCTCCGTTGACACAGCATGGCTGCAGCTCCTCCACCTCTCAATTAATTTGACAAGCTGCCATCTCAAGAAGGGGTACGCATAAATCTTTGGGCCGCGATATGCTCGCTTCCCCTTGCGTGCACTCTCGAAGGAGGCCTTCTTTTCTTTTTTTTTCTTTTGCCAGTCGCAACAGGAGGACTTGGCGGCGTCGCGCCTCCTTGCAGCAGCAGCTATAATCTCGAGTTTTCTTTCGCGGCGATAGATTACTGCCAGAACCCGCTCATGTTGTCTCACCAGACACGTGAATAAACACTACATAAACGTGCTACGGAGGGGGTTTGTCTATGGTCTGTGTTGGCTTTGCACAAGACTATGCCGATAGGGATGCGGACTGCACGGCAGGCCATGCATTGCCGTGAAGTCGACCTCTACTTCCAGACTATTCACAGATAACTCGCATCCCACTTTACAGGCGTTTTTTTTTTTTTTCTCAATTTTCGGTGCTGGTTATATGCGAGAAAATTCAGTGATTTTGCCTAATACGTGCTGGCGCACAGTCCAGTTTTGAGGACAGCTAAGATTCACTTTGGCTGCAGTTTTTATAGATTTTATTATCTATTATTACCCCTAATGTTTCCAAATACAATACTAAATGTTGTGATATACTAGTATAAGTGTTTAGTAGAGCTTTACTGGTTTCTTGCCTCAGCTTTGTTGAAATTGAACTATTAGAGGTGAGTCTGCAATGACATATTACTATGACTAAATTGGTAATAATTGAGTAATTCATACTGCTGAAATAATCTTGGCAAAGCTAATACTATTGTCTTAGTTTCCTATACACAGCCTTTAAGTAAGTTCACTCTCATTAAATGGATCTGAAAGGGACCAGGAAAATATGTTCCGTTTAACAGGCACAAAGAAACACAAGTACTAAACCAGTCGTATCAGAGACAAGTGTTCTATTTAAACGGCAATTTCGTTATCAGATTTCCATTTAATGAGAATATACTCTATTACCCTAGTAGACAACGCCTGCTATTATGCAGTAAGAATTTACTGCATAACATGAACGCAAGTGCATTTAGCCTGAGACATAAAGTGTGCTGCTGTCAATGACTGGTCATCGTAGTTCACATTATATGTCTTGCATTCTATAACGTTTGTTTTTGCAAGATGCTTGTGACACATCAACTTGTATTTCAACGTTTTGCACAATGCTTGCCTATATCTACACTTTTTGAAACTTGGGCTTTTTCAACTAAGAACGGTTGCTTTGAAAGGCGACGTGCAAGGCCTACGTTAAAGGGGCCCTGCGACACTATTTGAGCACGTATTTTTCATGAGTTCTGCTGGTGCTGTGAAAGGCGCCTATATCGTAGCGCACATGCAACACCGCAAGCGAGGCGGTTGTAATTTTAATTCACGGGACAAACTACCTTGATTTTAGACTACGGCAACACACATCGGTTATTTTTCTTATCGGAAGTAATGTCGTGTTATGTGTTGTGACGACAAACACCGTTCGCTTTTGATAGGCTTGACACGAGAAATAGCGTGCGATATTCGTATGTTGGTAGCTAGGCCATACGAGTGAATGCTGGAAACAGCAAAAGCCTTTTTTTAACCTTTTTCAGAAAGAAATCATTCCTGTTTCGTAATGATGTATTTTCAAAACAATGAATACCGCACTTAGCCTGCGAACGAGGGTATGGTATCCCGGCAACTGAAAGTGGAAACGAGCGCCGCGTTTTTAGCGAGCCAAAAATGCAACAGGTGTTGGGCGCCGGCGTTGCCATAGAATGCGTCTTGCGTGCAAGCCAAGAAGTGAACCGACCAAAAGCATATGTGTGAATCTTACACAGTGTGACCGTGGAGCGTCTGCTACCCCACGCATGGTTCGCAGTAACCATGCTTACTACATCATCAAAAAGAGTGGTAGCGAGGTATTGTGTGAAAGCCACAATGAGGTGACATTTCCGGAATGTCTATGATACGCGCGCAGTGATTGGAAGCGGTTTTTGATGTCAGCAGGTGAGTGAAATGCGAAAAAGAAAGTTTCTCGTCATCATCTGCTCGAGTTTTGATCTTTGAGGACTCGTAACTTCACTTTCTGTGCACCAATTTCGACCGCAATTCTTGTTGCATTCGTCTCAGTAATCATTGCTACACGCGTTCTGGTGCTGAATAAGGCTGTCCCAAAAGTGCCGCAGGGCCTCTTTTTTAAGCCTTTCTGTCCCGACATCCCATCTTTTCCTTTGGTTTTTTAGTTGTCTGTAGCCACGTTTCAGAGAGATTAAATATATAAAGCATAGCAGCTAATAAAAATGTACGGTGCATTCTTCTTCAGGATAACCTTTGCTGTCACAACGTAGTGCTGAGAGCTTACCTGCAACTTGGCAAAGACCCTTTGGTATCTTTGTCAGAAAGTTGTGTACAGAATTATAGCTAATGGGAATACGAATTGAACACAAGCTATGTAAACTTGCACAATTACTAGGCTTTTTATTTTTTACCATATTGTAAGCTTAAAAAGTGCTTTGGTAAGCAGACTTGTGATTGAGAGGTCACACTTTCTTTAAGTCATAGTAATAGTGGTTGATCAGATAGCAGCAATGCATGTATTTTACATTTATCATAACAATAAACCATTACGGTGTGCTGCATCCTGTTATTTCGGCTAAATGGCATGAGGTTTGTTCAAACAGTTATGTAGGCTTCAGAGAGTTTTGGAATCTCACATTTTTTTTCCACTATATAAAAGTGAAAATTGACAAGCCTTAATACATTTCTCTCTCTTCCTGCACATTTGTATGTTTTCTTTTCTTAAACAGTTAAAACATATAAATGTTCATAGCGTTGTAGCTTGATATGCTCGAACAGTGCAGTTCAGTAAAGCTATGTTGCTGCATCTTTTCAGGTTTCCACTCAATGATCCTTCAAGCAGTTGTCGAAGAGTGAAAATCTGCTGCCTGAAAATTTGAAATATTTCATTGATGTTGAGCCATCTACTGCCTGGAAATCCATCTCAGGGGATATTTTTATATTTTATTGATGATTTTATTGATTATTGATTTTATTAAGCCATCTGTATGAACTGTAAATTTTTAACATAATGTATATATTACATATTTCTGAACTGCGCTACATCTATGTCTTGTTTTATCACCATTTCATTGGAAAGGAAAGTTGAGATTAAATTCTCGCAAACCTACAAATCACATCTTTTTTTTTTATTGTCCTCTGTAGAAAAAAAAAAAGGGATGGGTGGGGGGAACTGCCAAACAAGGTGGCAGTAATGCCTATAAAAGTCACTTGAAAAGTCCTAAGGCCTAGCCCAATCAAAGGCAGAAATTAACTGCACCATAGGCTTGTGGTTGGGGAAGGGGAGGAAAACAGCACACTTTGATATGTCGGGTGCACACGCAATTGTGGCCTGTAGCTGTCCATAAAGGGACCACATTATCGGCTCAAATGAGACTCGCACCCACTCGGAGAGTATTTTGTGCTCAAGTGGACCATTCAATGCAGTCCAGGCAGGAAGTCTGCCAGGACAACGGCCAGGATGTAAAAGAGGCCAAAGTAGAGGTTCAGGCGCGCCGTGTGCCTGGGAAGACGGGCTAGGCGTCCATCGCGAAACTGCCGTTCCAGATTGAATGCACTGGGCAGCGTGATGAGTGGCAGCAGGAGCCAACGCGAGCGCGCCGCGAGAAGCGCAAACAGCAGGTAGGGCACAAAAAGCAACAGCGCATAGAGCACGTGAGAGCCCGTGGGCCCTAGCAGGAGGGCCAGAGTGACAGCACCGGCACGAGCGTCCTGCTGTCTGTCGCGGGCATTGTTGGCATGTAGAATGGCTTCTGTATTCATGGCAAGTGGCATGGCATACCAAAGCGGAGCAGGATCCATCCGGCCCGCTTGCGCGACAAACGAGTAGAGCACACATACAGGCCCAAAGGTCACAAGCACCAAAAGGTCCCCGAGTGCAATGTACTTGAGGCCTAAGCCTCCGGTGTACAGAAACGAGCTGGACAGGCCACCGAAGTAGACGAGTGCCAAGTGCTCCATACGTGCCTCGGAGCAGCCAGCGAGCAGTATGAACCCTATGCAGCCGATGGTGTACAGCAGAGCGCCCAGGTGGACCACTTCGCCTGGAGTGAGACGTCTGTCAACGAGGGTGCGGTCATCGCTGCTCGTGCGACTGTCGACACCACGCATGTAGTCAAAATAGGTGTTGACAACATTACCGGCCGCATGCACTGACAAAGCCGTCACACAGCTGGCCACAAACACAAGTGGGCTGAAGTGGTGCACCACACGGTAGGCAAGGGCGGCGCCCAGTGCAACTGGGGCGAGGGAGGCACTGAAGGACCACGGCCGTAGGGCCAGCAGGTAGGCAGAAAGCCGAGACTGCCCGGCCATCGCCCTGCTTGGCGTACCTGCGGAGAGACAAAGACCCTGAGCAATGTTATGTATGCCTAATCGAACAGATTTGGGGAGTTTCACAGCCATATGGAATTAATGAGGAACAGAGTTAAAAAGTTTTATTCAGCTCTGTAAGGAGGAAGTGTTTCAGTACACCACCTAAACGCCATTTCCAGTTGCAGATATTGATATAACTGCCTTGAACTCGATGCCCTCCTGTGAAGTAGGCTGTCGGTAAAATGAATGGCTGCACAAAAGCACTATATTTTGCCACCTGAATATTATGGATTGCTTCACGCAGCATGCCAACCACCCCGAACTGCTTCACATCACATTCCCAACTCATGTTAATTCACATCACATTCCCAGCTCATGTTAACATTGTGGAACTTGGCTATTAATATCGCTAAGTGCCTCTAGTACTGGAAAGATTTAGACAGAGAATGGGAAACATCACGTGGATTTGCTGCAGCCATTCTAGTAAAGAATTGTTACAATTAGTGACATAATTTATCTATTCTATAAAAAGTTCTGTAATGGCTAGGCAATAAGGGGGAGGATGAGTGCAAGATGTGATTTATAACTGCTGCTTACAACAGAAACTTGTGTATGGCTGTTAAGAATACATACAAGAAATTTCCATATGACAATAACCAAAAGATAGTGAACTGAAATATTTCAAGCACATTGACAGAGGAGAATAAACTCTGAATGAAGAGCGCAATGGCCGCACACAACATCCCCCAAAGCTCGAGCAATTGCAAGTGCATTTTACAGGCTTTAGAAATGGCTCGTGCCTCTTCCTATTAAGAGCTTTGATAATGTTGCAGCAACTTTGGTGAACAACACGATGATAGTTGTCTCGAGTGGAACAGCGCCATGAACTAGCTATGCTACAAAATTGATGCACGAGTGAAACGATTTAGACGGACGGCTTAAATTCTCTAGCGGGCCAGGAGGTGGTGTGAGCAAACTGAAAAGACATTGTTGGTGAGACATGCTAAAGACGCACAAGATGAGGACAGAGAAGAGGCTTGTGCACTATTAGTTTTTAACATGAAATATATAGTTTAGTGAAATGTCCCTTGCAATAACAGACTCGCGAGAGTAAATGCACTCCCCTCCAATATCATATGTCTAGATCAGGTAACGAAGATTTGCTTACCTGAAGATTCTTTGCTGGTGTCACTCATTTGAGCTTGATGGCTATGGTTGCATACTTCTTTCCAGTGTGCAGCTGGTGAAGAACGGCATGGAACTAGAAAAAATGCACACGAGTAGCACAGCGCCAATTTTTGTAATGAGTACTAAAACAAAAAAAGTAACATTGGGTTATGCTACGGCGGGAATGCGCTCTTATAATTGTACTACCCAATGAACGCCCGGAATGTAAGCGGTGTTTAATTTACAAAAGTGCGCATATTGAAAGGCATCGCAAACATGGTCAATGAAAATGGACGGCATTTCGACCGCAACAGCACAAGCTAGAGCGGGGAAAATGCCGCGGTCATAGCCTCCAACATTTGTCACTCAGCTGCCACAGAAGGAAGTTGCTGTCAAAAGAAAGTATACTTATGACCTTGTTTATATTTCCGCGATTGCTTCGTCAGAATAACCAAATCGCTTTCGGTTCTGCTGGATTTGACAAAAAAAGAAAAACAGATTAATTAAAGAGCATCGCGAATACGTTGCCAGTAACCGATACATATGCTAGCTTTGCGCATCATTTAGCAGCTCAAGCTTATGTCGTGGGCCATACGATCAATATTTCACACGTTTTGACGAATACATAGCCAGCGTTAAAGAACGTGCTACGGGCAAACGGAGCGGGTTGCTAATTTTCCGCGACATTTCGTCCAAGTTTAATGAGGTATATAGGCGTGTAGCCATTGCACTGGTATCTACTAGTACTTCGTGCGCTGTCGTACTGCCGCAGAACAGGGCAGAAAAGTCGCGGACTTACAGCAAACTTCTGCCGCTTCGGTTTGTGTGCGACACGGCACCACTGCAGTGCGTAACACTGCGATCGCTTAATAGCCGCACCGCCCTAAGGCCCTACGCCGTCGGTGGGAGGTATTTCTCCCACCGAAGATCATTCACGGGACTAGCGCAAGAAGCAGTCGTGATGTCTAAGACCGTGTGGAGACATTTCCATCCACCAGCAAACAGGCCTGTCTCTCGCGGAGCTAATGCCCCGTTCAAAGAGTCGTCCGCTCATATTCACGCGAAGCTACCTTTGCGGGCGACGCGTCTACTCGGGTGCGCGCGCGCTCCCCTACTCGTGACGTGACTAGCAGGCGGCAAGCGCCGGAGCACGTTGTTCGAGTGATCGATTATGCAGATACAAGAGTGGCACTTTTTGATACGTCGCTGTTGAGGTCACCGACGCGAAGCCATTCACAGACTGCAAGGGCCCGGTCTGAAAGGCTTACCTTGCAGCGCATAGCCGCTACCGGTAGTCAGTGCTTGTGTCGGCAGGACCCCTGTCGCGCTCGGGTGGTCCACCATTGGACGACCCGAAAATGTAACAGACCGCGGCACATAAGTGAGCACACCGCTGTCCGCGCGTCTACGCGCCGTTTGTCCGCTTAACCCGGACGGTGCCGGATAAAACGCACCCTGTAGCAAGGAGGTCTCCGAGTCTCCCAGCAAACGCGTCGAGCTGCTCTCCGCGGCTTCCAGCCGCGTGGCTATTTCCACGGAAGACGTCAGTTTTAATTTTCGAGGCAGTGACGTCATAATAAATCGGCCGTGTTTCTTCGTTTTAAAATTTTAGACTTGAAATGGCCGACGCCTGTCCCATGCCTGCCGACGCAGGGGAGTGGGTAACTATCTAACGCGCATTTTGGAGACTAGCAGAGCCGTGAATGGTTACATAATCGTCATGCACTATCCCAGTTGCCGTGCATCATTCGGCATTACTTAATATGTGTAATGAATAAACAGCGTTAACACGGCGTTAACGCAGCTGGTGCTGTTATCGGACTTTATTTTCGTCGCATGTTTTTCTTTTTGTTTGCAGTTGTTTGCAAAGTTAACTACGGATGACCACTGACCCGTACTAAAGTGAGCCCACAGCTTCTAACTCGCTTTACCCGTATGGTCGCTTTTGCAGCTACAGAACAATTTTTTAGTTTTTTTTTATTTGTCGCTAGACTTGCGTTTTTGAATGTAAAGCTTCTACACTTGAGCAAAAGTGTGTAGATTGTCTTTGTTCTACTTTTGTGCACAGGGGGCAGTACTCTGTGACGTCATAGTGTTTGCGCTCAAAACCTCACATAAACTTACAAAAAGGCACTGATGTAAAGTGGAAAAAACGGTTCAATGTGTTGAGGTGTGATAAATTTCTAATGGATTTCTATTTGGTGACTTTTCCTATGTTGAGCCATAGCCTCCTAGATTTCTCTTGCCTGCCGGATTATCGGCGGTCACTTGGGAAGCGGCCGTCGTCGGAACCATAGAGTTTCTCAAAATTAACTAGAGGGCAATCTGGCGCTGCGATCGTTCAACGACCATGGGAATGATGGGTAGTACACACATTTGCCTAGTCTTCGTACTTGCGGGCGGCAATCGTACTTGCGGCTTTGTTTATTGCTGTGTTTCGGTTTGTTTAGAAAAAAGATTGAACGCTTTTGAACTTCGTGAGCCAATTTGGAAAGTAAGTATAAAAAAATAAAATGGTGAAGCGCAACCGCTGAACATTTGCTAATACTTGTTTCGTAAGAAAACAGCTCCGAGCCACACGAACACACACGGAGCCAAAGGCAGGCCAGAAGTACGAATATTAGACAAATGTGTGTACTACCCATTATTCCCATGCTCGCTGAAGCGCCGTGCGTTGCAGCTCCCTTAGACACTAGCGCCAGAGTTCCCTCTAGTAAGTATTGTGGGAAACTCTATGGTCGGAACTATGGTGGTGGCACCGCTTAAGTATGGGTGTCTTCAAATAAGGTTATTCGTTTTTTGGAGCGTATATGACACAAAAATAACGTAAAAAGCTTTAAAAAGACGTAAAACTAATTAAAGTTAACCCTATGTAAGTGACGCCGCCATAGATGACAGGCGTTTTGCGCTCATTCAACAAGCAAACCTTTCAAAACAAGGCATAGCCTTTGAAATTAACAAACCCTAAAATTGCTCATCTCAAAGGTTAAGTACAAAAACCTTTGATCCTACGTAGGTAGCGCTGCTATAAATGACGGGCGTTGCGCGCTCCTCCGGCAGGCAAAAAAATCTAGGAGGCTACGGTTGAGCGTACAAAATAAACCACTCTGTTAACTATATGTCTTTAGGTGTCTAATTTATTGTCCCATAAAAATATTTTAGTTGTTACGTTACGTATTATTTTATAAAAAAAAATATAATACAGTACATTAGCTTGGCGTGTTTTCTTGTCCAAGTAGGCAACCCCGTACCATGACGTCATGACGTCGACGGCGTTGTTTGTCGCTTGGAGAGGGCACGTTGGATTGCTTTGGGAAGTGTTTTATACCTCGGTTCAACTTCGGTTCCAGGTTTAGTTAGCCATGGCGAATTGGAATCAACTTCAACAGCAGCTCAGACATCCGAACAATCCTGTGGTGTTCTTTGATATTACCATCGGCTCTACGGTGCGTAATTTGCTGGCGTTAGATGGTCTGCTTCGTTGACGCGTCGGGAGAGCATTAAAATAGTGTTTGGTGAAGAAAAGAACTTCTCATGATCATAAAAAACGCCTTGACGCGGTGTGTGAAGCTTTGTTCGTTTCACCGGTGTCACGCGGTCACTTCTGATCGCGATCGGGCCCGATTCGAACCGAATTTCGTGATCGTGGTTGACGCAAGTTGCAGAATGGAGTCAATCACTGTCGAGAAGTTGGTCTCATCGGGCTGAATCGCAACCAGCTACATGCGAGCGTTTCTGTTCATTTACTTGTTTGGACCAAAGTGTTCACAATCTTCCTCTCGGAGGTACCACACGGCACGTACTACCCGCGCGCGCGCAGGGGGAGGGGGGTTTGGCAATGTTTACTTTAGGTAACCGTTGTTTCCATTTTGCTTTGTCTTTCTTTTTTATTCCTTATCAGGAGGTTGGACGGATGAAGATGGAGCTTTTTTCTGACGTAGTTCCCAGGACTACGGAAAACTTCAGGTGATTTTGAGTTGAAAAAAAAGCTTCCGAGAGACGCTGATAGCTGGATGCTATCCGCAGGCAATTTTGCACAGGAGAGTACAAGAAGGACAGCGTGCCGATTGGCTACAAGGGATCCACGTTTCATCGGTGAGCTCTGTCACAAATGCTGGGAATGCCTCACTGTGCTGACACTTCGATATATGTTTGTGCATAGTGTCATCAAGGACTTCATGATCCAGGGAGGAGATTTCGTCAACGTAAGTCCCGCTAAGCACACTAAAAGTTTATAGTTAACGGGGATTCGTAATAAGAGAAGGTTGGCATGCAAACATGTATGAACAGTAGTGGAACAAAAAGGAGAGATTGTCATTTGTGCTGACCTTTTCGTTCTACTTGTGTACATGTTTCCATGCCAGACATTCTGTACCATGAACATTGTAATTAGTTCTTCTTTTACCGTAAACTAATACTTCGTTGCTTTCTCACCAGGGTGACGGCATGGGATTAACAAGTATCTACGGTGGTCCTTTTCCTGATGAGAACTTCCAGTTGAAGCACGATGCTGCTGGCTTACTATCTATGGTATATTGCTTTACACCACTGCACATCATGCAGAGGAAAACAATTGTTTACGCTATGAATTGGCATAATCCACACAGCTCTGCCGCATATTCATGCTTTATGTTTTCTTCTCACACAGGCCAACAGTGGCAAGGATACTAACGGCTGTCAGTTTTTCATTACGTGTGCACGATGCGACTTTCTTGATGGGAAACACGTAGTGTTCGGTAAGCATAAGGCTAACCGTACAGAGTGAAAACTAACTTTCGTGCTGGTAATGCAGGTCGTATCCTTGATGGTCTTCTGGTCATGCGAAAGATTGAAAACGTTCCCATTGGACCCAACAACAAGCCGAAGATTCCTGTTATCATCTCGCAGTGTGGTGAAATGTGAGCTTGTGCTGGTCGGGACATGTACATATGTTTTTGAGACTTGGAGAATGTGAAGCTTTTGGAAAAGTGTGCTGTTCAAAGGTTAAAGAGGACCCTGCTAGTATTGTATAATATGACAAAAAATATTTGCTGTGAGCTATCGAATACACCACTGTCTCATTGACTCTGGTAATCTGTGGCTGAATGTAAAGTTGTGGATTTTCTTTGCGTGCAGCTGCAACTCTGTTTTAGAAGCAGTGAAATTGAAACAATAATAATTTTAATAATAATAATAAGAAGCTTATGCAGTTAGCTGTAAAAAGACACAAGTTTCCTTTATTTTTCGGGAGCATTAAATTAACAAATAAGCCATGTTTTTTTACTTCAAAACCATGTTCAGTGCATTCTTTGTAGGTGCCAAATGAATGTGGAAGATAAGCGAAAGATATCTGGTAAACAATTGACCCTGTTGTGTTTGTTTTCACTACACTTGTCTATTCCACCTTTCTGTTTCTCTTGGCTTCTGTAAACAATTCATGCAGATTCAGATTGAGCCTGCTGAGAGACTGGTGCAGCCAAATCTTGATTAAGCTGCATCTTTCATAAAGTTATTGTAGTTGCATCCGATTATTGTTCTAAGCTTGTACATTTTACGTACAAGCCGTATTCGTATGCCGTAGTACATATTCATACGCCACTTAGGGGCGTATGAATATTCAAAAATTTTAAATAATTTATTGAATAGTGTTTGGTTAGACTTAGTGCTCGAATAAAACAGTGAATATTCAAAATAAGAAGTATTTTTCCAGTACTTTTTAAATACTCAGCACCTATGAGAAAAACCAGAGGAGCAAAACTTTAGAACAGTGAGGGAGCAATTTTCTCTCTTTAGTTTCATGATGATATTGCTTTGAACAGGATAGCTTTAAAGAACTCGTTTTGCAGAAATTTTGCCATCAGTGGTTGTAAGCGAAAAATTATCGTGTGACTGAAAAATTGAGAAAGATGCAAATAAAATAAATAATAAAAATTTTGGGTCTCAGAATCAAAATCATTTTATTTTTCACGTCAGACAAAGGAGAGAATACATGTTTAGTATATACAGAAAGAGGTCCCATAGTTACAAACTGAATTAATAGGGTCTGATTGGGAATGGAACCCGAATCGTTTGCATGGCGAGCTAGTGTTCTACAATGCAGTCATGCCGCTTTTTTTGTGGTATTTATTATAATGCATATTTTAAAATTATAACATTTGCTTTGGCCTAGTAATGCATTCACTCGATGACAATTGCATAAGAACTGCACAAGCATGCAAAGGCTACATAAATATATACATAGCAAGTCCAAAAAAAAGGAGCAAAAGTTCTTCAGAAATTTGGTAAGGATGAGCCTCATCAAGATGGGGTGCCAGTCTGGTGTGAAGTCAAGTTCTTTATCAATGTCCTTTAGGTGAAAAGCCATATGCATGAAATGCATACTTGAAGCAGTTGTAGGTTCTGTATTGCAGTCTTGCGTGCACATTTTTCACTGACTGTGCAGTTGCATAAGAAAGAACTTATCAAGGGCACTTCATCAAGACATGTTTTGAGAGGGTAATGTATGGTATGTGAATTAATGTTAAAATTGATTTTTAACGGTTCATTGAAGGATATTCCAAAACAGAATGGCATCTTTGCAGCTAATATAGCGGTGTTCTGATGTCTCGGGTATATCGCAAAGATAACACCTAAATAAACAAAAGTACCCTTCTCTTGCAAGCATGGTTCTACTGGCAGTGTATCAGTATGCATTTTATAAAAGAAAGTTTTTGTATTGGGAGAAATACACATTTTCTGGACTCGTTTTAATACATCCCGTCTTGGAAGGTCGGAATATAATGAGTGGTTAGGTGTAGGTGGAAAAAGCATGGATAACAAATCTTTATTAAGATCTCTGCGTGATATCTCTCTTCTGGTGAGCCCCCCTTATGGCGTTCAGGGAGCCTGCAACATCATGTGTTGTACTTCCAAAGTACATATATAACATCATGTGTTCATCCCGTGTAATAGGTGTGCTTAAAAATGCAAAAGAAAAATTGTATCCCTTCTCCAATACTGGACAAAAGAACTCGAGCTAAGCTTGACCTGAGCCTACCTGATTTTCTACTTATCTTTTTTTCACCTCGTGCTATGCTCTCTGCTAGCTTTCTCCGGCAAAGGACTTTCGCCCTCGCGCCTAAGACTTTTGCCTAAGACAAGTTGGCGCCGTCATCTTGGGCTGTCAAGTCGATGTTTTCTTGTTTTTGTATAATGTAAAGTGGACGGCCATGAAACATCATGTGCACTAACTCGACCGTTTTCATCTGTATGCGTCTACCGGAACACTGTTCGTTTAGTTGTTAAAGATGCGAAACCCAAAGTTTAGCAGTCCAACATGGCGGCACTTCGAACAAGGCTTCGAAAAATTTCGACCACCGAGGGTTCTTTAACTGAATTCACGGGCATCAAGCATGTCCGTCCCACCAAGAATGCACTCGCCGTGCCCGGGATTCGATACAGCGGCCGTCAGGATGACCAGCAGTGAAGCACCACAACATATACACCAGCACCGACGTGCCTACAAGCGCTACAACTATGTACCTACAAACAACAACGACAGCAGGCTTGAAGAAAAAAGGTAAGACTCGAATGTGGCCATAAGCATGCGAAGGGTCGGCCTTCAGGGTAGGGGGAGGGGAGGATTTTCGCAGCACCCATTTCCCGTTAAGGCAATGTACGCACAGCTTTCACGTGACGTCACAGACAGGTTCTCTGCGCTGGGTGCCCTAAGATGGTAACAACCGCGAGTTTTTATCTCACTAGAGAGGGCCACTGCAATGCGGGATGGATAGACCTTCAGTTGATAGTCTGCGCTTGTCCTTGTCTTTTGCTCGTCCGTGTTTTCTACCGCGTAATATACTTAGATCATTCATCACCAACTGGCCCAGTCGTCCACTTTGATTAGCAAAGGAGGACACAGAGTCGTTCGGTCCCCGCGTTCTTTTGTGATCTCCCTACATCTGTTCGCGAAGCATGCCGAGGGGGAATACAAAGGAATTAGAGGGGCACTGGCACTAATCCGTTGTCACTGTACGAGCTCACCCAGCATATCAAACCAGTTGGGGGCCCTAAGATGGCGGCCGAGAGTGCAAGAGAAAGTACCCCCCCTTCCCCCCCCCCCCCCCGGTGCACCCCTCGTGCGCACGCATATGAACGTGGCAACGTAAAATGACAAGTGACCTCAATAAAAAGATAATTCAGTCGCACATATGGCCAATCACCAACAAGGCTACGATCGAAAGAGCATTAATACTGGCGCCATATGACGACCCAGGTGAAAATGGTAACTGGGAAAGCGACTGGGTAGCCATTCTCGTATTGTCCAATTTGGCAGAACGCGCTCAGTTAGCAAAAAAAAAAAAAAAACGGTGAACTGTGACGTCATGGTGCGCTTGACTACGTCGGCACACCGAACCCGCTAGCACATTCCCAGCGTAAATAGAAACTAAATGGACGAAATGCAGAGTAACAGAACTCTTAAACAAACTTGAAAAGTCTGAACGTGCGTACGAACATTCTGACACGAATGCGCAACGACCTTTCAGGGTCGTCAGGCGCGCGGGCGCGTTAAACCTCATTCAAGGGCTAACGTGGTTTACCCCCGTATTCAAGAACGCCCCTTCCACGGAGGAAGGAAAAAAGGGTTTTCCTTCCTCCGTGGCCCCTTCAATTCACTTTCACTTGATGGATGGATGGATGAATATGGCTGTACCCTTTAGATCGAGCGGTGGCTAGCGCCACCAAGCCGTAATACTTAATGAACCAAAAACTAGATTTTTTTTTCCTTTTAAAAAGTGAGGTTGAGGATTCGTATTTTGCAGTGAAGAGTTTAATTTTCACTCGTGCCTTGACTTTAGCCACCGATCAGATAACCTCCTTCTAGTTAATTCTACCCGCTTGAAGTCTATTTTGCCCTCCCTGTCCCTAAACCCAACTGCTTTGAAAAACTCTGCGCCATCATCCTGAACTATAGGGCGAAGCCCTTTACAGAACATTATCAAGTGTTCGGCAGTTTCTTCTTCCTCTCCACACGCACTGCATAACGCGTGTCTACCCCTTCGTATTTGGCCCCACATGTCTTGGGTCGCAATACTCCCGTCCTGGCCTCAAACAGTAGAGAACTCCTCGAGTATTATCATAGATCTTTTCCTTGGCAATTTCCTGCTTAAAACTTCGATAAACCTCTAGTGCGGACTTCTTAATCATGCCAATTATCCACAGCTTCCTTCACCTTCTCTTTAACCGATCATTCTTTTAAGTTTGGCCCCCTGCTGTTTTCTAAGTATTTGCCAGTCAATTTTCTGGTTCGCTTCCTCCATTTTGTATCGACATTCTTCATGTAAAAGTAGCTGAATACCTTCCTAGCCCAACGCTCCTCCCCCATTTCTCTCAATCGCTTCTCAAATTTTTATCTTGCTGCCAGCTTCCCTGCCCTAAAATGATGTCCATCCCATATCACCTTGTACTCACTGATTTGGTGTATTCCTGTGAGCTTCTAAGGCAAGCCTACCTATTCCACGTTGCTTGATTTCTAATCTTTCTTGAACTTCTGATCTCATGCACAAGACCGCATTGCCGAACGTCAGACCAGGAACCATGACCCCTTTCCATATTCCTCTGACAACATCATACCTATTGTAATTCCACAGTGCCCTGCTTTTCATTACCGCTGCATTCCTGTTACCTTTAGTCGTCACGCATATTTCGTGTTCTCATAGGTACTCGGCCCCATCGCTTATCCATACGCCCAGATATTTGTATTTATCTGTTATCTCTAGCGTAACCTCCTGTATTCTAAGCTCACTACCTTCATTGTCACTAAAAATCATGACTGCTGATTTTTCCTTACTGAATCTGAAATCTAACCTACCTCCCTCATTACCGCAGATGTCCACCAATCTCTGCAAATATTCCTTGTTGTCGGCCATTAGCACTATATCATCTGCGTACATCGGCGAGAAAGCCGATGGGAGCGCCATCTCTAGGCAGGGCAAGTCAGTGCATATCAGTGGTAATTTCCTGCTATTACAGTGTCTAGAAATATACTGCCTAGTGTGCTGAGCGCGGGCTAGGAGATGGCCCCGCCGCTGATGACTGCTGACAGCGCCCGCATGGTGCGCTGCTGTGCGAGTGGGTGCATTTGCGTTCAATCATTGCGCTCCGCAAGCGCTGCGAAAACTGCAGGAGGCCGAGCCGCGCGAAGTTAACTATTATTTTTCTGCAATTTCGGGGTCTTTTTTGCTTTTGCATAATGCTTAATTGTATAATAACTACTCGATTGCTTTCACAGTACTGGCGCATTGCAATACCAAATGGTCATTTCGTGGCATACATTTCGCCATCCGCTACTGCCCGAAAAAAAAAAAAAAAAAAAAGACGCAGGTCCCACGTAACTTGGGAATCAATGCTATGCAAGGTAACTCTGTTGTAATTTTTTTATTAAGTAAAACGTTATGAAGTGGCGCTAAATATATGAAAGAAATTGGATAGTCAACACTGGAACCAGCATTGGCGTTTCACGAACATTTGGCTCTTCTTGCAAAGTATTTCGAAGACCCTAAGTTAAGGGGGTGATCGTGAGGGCACCCAGACGTAGGCGATTCTATAGATAGATAGATAGATAGATAGATAGATAGATAGATAGATAGATAGATAGATAGATAGATAGATAGATAGATAGATAGATAGATAGATAGATAGATAGATAGATAGATAGATA